GGTCCGCCGGACCGTCAAACGTTCTAACAGTAACAACGGTTTGTTATGACTCTTTGCTAAATATTTCTAACTCAAAATGAACGGTCAGATGTAGCAGATTTTGTACTTAGCAAAACACCTTGTAACATACGTTGCTACACCGATTCAAATGCTGACTAAAAGTAAAATGAGCTGACTCGTTAACACTGCGGTCATGAAAATGCCTGTCTTTTTAGTGACAAAAGTATAAAAAATTAAAGAAATGTCATACATGCTGCTATAATGCCATTGCCTACTCATTGCTAGATCCAAATATGTAACTCACCAGTGTAGTAACCAGCAAAGCTGTTAGTACCCTCTCTCTTGCGGGTTACATATTTGTATCTAGCCCACTGCCAGCTTGTTTTACACATGTAAATTGTAATGACACATGGAGACGTGCATGTATAATATATGTAGGCCACAGGCACTTGGGAGCGTCTCAATTAAAAGGAAAGTGTGTACACGTGCAGCGCCGTGCGTGCGGTGTACGTGTGTGTTGCAGAGGAGCATTTGAACGGCATTTACAGGAAATTATCGGCAATGATAGGCGAAAGACAGTAGAGAAACATTAAGACTTTGGTAGTAAATACATTTCGTGTTTATTTAGCATTATGTTTCTTTATTGAGGCGCTCCAAGTGCCTGTGGCACGTTTACACTTACCCGGTATATATAAGTTATATACGTTATTATACGTTAAGTTATATGTAACCAAGCGCATAATAAAGAAGGCCTTCTTTATATGCTATTGATATAACATACTTATATACGTTACGCGTGCGTGAGATGTACGTGTGGACTTTGATAGTAAATACATTTCGTGTTTATTTAGCATCATTTTTCTTTATTGAGACCTCCAAGTGCCTGTGATGTAGGCTGTGTAATACCAGTAGCGATTACAGGCTGACGTACAACTTTCGGGAATTTATGGTGGTCGGCCCTACTATATAGTACACAGGCACTTGAAGCGTTTCAACTGTAAACATACGCCGCCGCCATTGCGCGCACACTGACACATAATTATTTGATGTATTTTTATAGTATAACACACTATATATTTATGTGTCAGTGTGCGCGCAATGGCGGCGGCGTGTGTTTACAGTTGAAACGCTTCAAGTGCCTGTGATATAGTAAACTAAGCGGCGCACCGATTTGACGTGTTTACTGCTGTCGCCAACAACAACGTGGATAGACTCGCGGATAGGATGCGTGGTCGCACTGCATTGTGCATATTTTGTTTTTTTCTGGTATAGCAATCGCTATCGTGGCTACACGCTGGGTATTTGTTCTAATGCATTGCCGACCCAATTCTCGAAAAGAGAAGCGATGACACATTTCGACACAAACACGCACACCGCGGTGCCGTTAGACCTAACCGAGGCAGGTATCGCCACCTGGTGGTGGTTCGACGACGGCTACGTGAAAGATTCAAGCTTTGGCCGCATTCGAGAAATCCGGCGCTAGGGAGCCAATTATTCGATCATCGAGCGTGAAATATCTCAGCGGGTAGAAATGCTGCGTGCGTCGGCGCCTATTCCGTCATAGATGTAATAATAACCCGTGGCTGTGTAACGAGCCGTGATCAGGCAGGCAGGCGCCATCCTTGATGGAGCAGGTCGCTGGCGGATTCCTGCAGCAAGCTTCTGTGGTCGAGCGCATCCGTGCAACTATCATACATTCAAATTAAGGGCGGGAGAGAGAAGATGTGGGATTCGTACGGACCAGGGGCTCCTATGAGGAGACGACAGAGTGGCGTAAAGAAGAAGGAAAGGAGAACGAGAGAAGTGAGAGAGAAGGGAGGGAGGAAGACAGAGGAAGAGAGAGAGATAGAGAGAAAGAGAAAGAGAGAGAAGAAGAGAAAGGCAAAGAAGGAACAGAAGTGGAGGGAGTGCGGGATAAACAGAGGAAGAAAGATAGAGAGAGAACGAGGGAATGAGAGAGAATGAGAGAGAGAGAACGAGGGAATAAGGGAGAATGAGAGAGAGACGGAGAGTGAAAAGGATATTCACACTTTATAGGCGCATCATTCTAAAGGGCCGGACACACTAGGCGATTTTAATGCGATCTAATCGGGCGACGTTATCGCCTGATAATATCGCCCGATTCTATTGCGCGAATCGAGTGGACACATCACGCGATTTAGTCGCGCGACTGAAATAATCGCCCGATAATATCAAAACGTTTTGATCGATGCGATTGAATCGGGCGACTAAATCGGGCGACTAAATCGGCGGCGACTGACTGGACACATTAGGCGATTTTCACCGGTGATTGAGTCGCCCGATTCAGTCGCCCGATAAAATCGCCTAGTGTGTCCGGCCCTTAAGGCATTATTTACGCACACATCATGTTCTCTGGAACATGGCGAAGCACGGGGAGCGATCTCTCATTATGGGAAGGAACTGCACATTTGGGGTGCGATCCGCTTTATGTCGTGCTGCCTGTGTGTCAGAGGTCATGTCTTCATTGTGGGGCTGTGAGATTGAGCAGCGTGTGCTGCTAGCTTCCTGTCCGTCGCAGGTTCGTGTATTTTGATGGTAATGCGTGAGGGTTGTTACTGCGCGCCGCAGTGCGAAAGCCGCGGCGATCACTCTCGCTATTTCCTGAAGAATACCATTAGTGGTGTTATCAAACTTATATCTGCCTAGCATATTCGAGTCCCATCTCTCTCTCCTTCATCCCTCTCCCTCGCTCCCTCTCACTCGCTGCATTTCTCCCCCATCTATCTATCTATTTATCAATCGATCGGTCTGTCTGGCTGGCTGGCTGCCTGTTTGTCTGTCTGTCTGTCTGTCTATCTGTCTGTCTGTCTGACTGACTGTCTGTCTGCCTGTCTGTCTGTCTGCCTGTCGGTCTGTCTGTCTGTATGTATGTATGTCTATCTATCTATCTATCTATTTATCTATCTATCTATCTATCTCTATCTATCTATCTATCTATCTCTATCTATCTATCTATCTATCTATCTATCTATCTATCTATCTATCTATCTATCTATCTATCTATCTATCTATCTATCTATCTATCTATCTATCTATCTATCTATTTATTTATCTATCTATCTATCTATCTATCTATCTATCTATCTATCCTTTTAAGGTGTAACATACTAATAGATAAGTGCTGTATCATTAACCTATAACGTCTAACCAGATGTAGATATGTGCCATGTCATTATCCTATAATCTTTGTAGCACGTTGCGGATGATTACATAACGTTCTTGCGTGTACAGTGTAAGATGATGCAGACAATGCCTAGCTTACGCTAATTATACCATGGCAAATAAGAGGACATGGCACCATTATACATATCACCTTACTACACACGTAATGGGATAATGAGAGTCGAATTCTACCATGTGTATAACACCCGATCTAAAACTACAATGTAGATAAAATATTAATTATTTATAATATAAGATGTATAGATGCTCTTCATGTGATGGAAACGTATATATTGATATATAGATATATAGATTTATAATATAGATAGATAGATAGATAGATAGATAGATAGATAAATAACCACATACCGGTTATAACGTGTTATACTCATTCTAATTGTCATAAGGCCATACTATAATCAGGAGTGTCATAATATAGACATATATTATCTATATAATTTTTTATATCCTACATTTATTGTCTCTCTCTCTCT